GGGAGGGGGCTGCCGGCCCCGAGCGGGCGCTGTCCCCCCGGCGCTGGGCGATGGTGGGGTTCAGGTTCGCTTTGTTTGTTTTTGTCAGATGTGAATCCAAATGGAGCGCTCGGAAGGAGGCGAGCGGAGCCAGCAGCAGCCCTGGGGGAAGCTGATCCGGCTGGGTGCTGATGAGGCAGAGCCGCACGTCTTGCTGCTGAAAAGAGAATGGACAATTGGTCGGAAGAAAGGTGGGACAGGGACACGCTGCGCTGGCGCGGGGCGGTGTGCGGGGGACAGCAGCGATCCGCCCTCCTGGCCTTTAAAACGTTGGAAGGTGGACTGAAACTAGTTGGGTTTGGCGCTTTCAGCTGTGGAAGGGCTTGCCAGGCGGTCCCTTATTCCTGATTTAACTCTTGGCTCTGTGTGAAGAAGTTTTATACTGACCTTTTCTTTTTTACTGACTTGTGACATGTGCACGTTTAAAAGTGAAAATGGCTTTTAGGTTGTCTGTGACAGCTCGTACAAATAAGAAAAAATATTGTTGATGCAGAAGAGTTTCTGTGTATCATTCCTGTTTATGTTCTCGTTTAGTTTCTGTGGTTAAAATAAGTTGGAACTGCAATGCAAAATGCTTGTGCTTCACAGAAAAGGAAACGCCCACATAAAAGCCCTTAATTCTTCTAGCCATATAAAGATTGCCAACAAGTACTGAAAGTTTCTCAGAGTACATTTGAAAGCTTTATTCCCAGAGTCTAGGGCTTTTACTACTTGCCTTTATTTTAAAGGATTCCATGCTTACAGTTTTTAAAATAATCATCACAGTCTTTTAATTTTTTTACTCTGCTCTGACAGCACTAATTTTCAGTTTCCTGTTCATCGGTTCAAACAATTTGTCTGACCAGTCACATTCTGTAAATAGTCTTGAACAAACACCAGATGCTGTAGCTCTATGAGAAATTCAGATAATGTATTGTAGGAAAAATGTTTTGCCTGTTTACATTTGGTAATATACATTTAGATTGTTTATTATTATCTAAACCTGTAGGTAAACTCTTCAGATTGAGGTCTAGTTGAGGGTTATCTTGCTGAAAAAAGATGAATTTTTGTGTATTCTATTGCTTCCATAATGGTTTGCTAATGGATTAATGAGTGGTTACAAGAATGCCAAGCTTTGGGTCAAAAGTTTTACTTAGAAACTCTTCAGGAGCCTTAGAAATGCTTGTTTAGAGCATTTTGTCATTCCATGTCCCATATGAAAGTCTGACTCTGTAGAATAGAATGGGAATGTTCGCTTTCGGTGGGTGTCCTAGCGTCCCAAGTTGTGTGGCAACAGTTAACTCTGTAGCTATTGATTGTTCTTTGAATATTAGGAGTAGACCAGTGATAAACTGTCACCAGCATGGGTAGTAGCTACTGCTTTCCTTCTGGATATGTTGTTCTTGCAGGCTGAGATACAGTGCACCCACAGTGTGAACAGATGGAAGTGAATCATGTTTGTTAATTGTAACTTTTGTGTGAGTGAGTACTTTGACTCATTCGTGAGAGATATTAGTGGAGAACCTTGAGCATTGCCTTGAATGTTTAATGTTACAGTGAAGTAAAAATATTAGATTTGCTCAGAGCCCTGGAGTTGTCA